CTCTCTCTCTCTCAGGGTGACTCTGGGGGTCCAGTGGTGTGTAGCGGTCAGCTCCAGGGTGTGGTGTCCTGGGGGTATGGCTGTGCTGAGGAGGGTCACCCAGGTGTCTACACCAGGGTCTGCCAGTTCACCAGCTGGCTGACCAGCACCATGGCCAGCAACTAAGACCGGCATCCAGCGAAGACTGAACCAGCTGTCCACCACAATCACTATTGCGATCAGGGGGGCTTTTGATATCTGTTCATCCCTCTTCAGTTTGTTTTTCAGCAGAATATAATAAAATAAATCATGAACCAAAATGGAGCCCGCCTGAGTGTATGTCCATAAGCAGGGCACAAACTGAACTCTGCTGTCATATCTTATATCTTAGTGAACTTAATGACAGAACACTGACAGAAATCTTTGTACATGAAACACAGTGCCCATTACAGGGCTGTGTCTTTCCTGAACACTGACTGTAATATTATATACATGAAACACAGTGACTATTACAGGACCGTGTCTTTCCTGAACACTGACAGTACTATTATATACATAAAACACAGTGACTATTACAGGACTGTGTCTTTACTGAACACTGACTGTAATATTTTACAGAGGAAGCACAGTGACTATTACAGGACTGTCTTGACTGAACACTGACTGTAATATTTCATACATGGAACACAGTGGCTACTACTTGAGAGTGAGAGCAGAGTTTATGGTCATGTGCACAAGTGCAATGAAATGCCTATTTGCATGTCTGCTCCTGTACAAAGACATCAAGGAAACAGCAAAATACAAAAACACAGAACAGCGGCAGCAACAACAAGTTAAGTAGCAGACGCCTGAGTGTGAGTCAGACGTGGGGGTAGAGTTCAGGAATCTGACAGCCTGAGGGAAGTGGACCTGTTATGCCGGTATGCAAACTGCAGGGGGTCTAAGCACTCAGGTACCACTGTGTTAATGAGCCCCAACACCAGCCTTTCGAAGCATTTCATGATGGTGGGTGTTAATCATTAAAAAGGTGGCAGTATTTTTCTTTGGGACTGGAATAATCATAGTTTTCTTAAAACACAGGGGAACAAAAGATGGTAAAAGCGAAAGGTTAAAAATATCTGTGAAAACCGTGAAAACTGTGACTGTGACTTTACTGAACACAGAGTACAATACTTTTATAAATGAAACACAGTAATTATTAAAATACTTTAATATTTCATACATGGAGCATGGTGGTTAGCGTTTCTGCCTCTGAATACAAGCTCGCTGGGTTACATTCTGATGATGGGCTCCACCTCCCCAAACCTTGTAGGTTCTAACCCCTGTTTGTGTGGGTTTCTTCCAGGTGGTCCAGTTTCCTCCCACAGGAGGAAGGTGCTGGCTTGGGGGCAGATTGGCCCTGGTGTGAGTGTGTGCGTGTCTGTGTGCGTCTGTGTGCTCTGGACTGGCTTTTTTTCCATCCTCCACACATTGCTTGTCAAGATAGACTTCTGCTGGCCTGCAACCCTGAATTAAATACAGTGGTTAGAAAACAGATGAATGGACAGTGATTAATACATAACTGTCTTTACTAAAAACTGACTGTTCATATTTTACACATGAAGCACAGCGACTATTACAGGACTGTCTCTTTACTGAACACTGATTGTAATATTTTAATAATTAAGCGCATTGACTTTTTCAGGACTGTGTCTTTACTGAACACTGACTGTAATATTTTACTCATGAAGCACAGTGACTATTACAGGACTGTGTCTTTACTGAACACTGATTGTAATATTTTAATAATGAAGCGCATTGACTTTTTCAGGACTGTGTCTTTACTGAACACTGACTAATATTTTCCTCATGAAGCACAGGGACTATTACAGGACTATGTCTTTCTTGAACTCAGACTGTAATATTTTAATAATGAAGCACAGTGACTATTACAGGACTGTGTCTTTACTGAACACTGACTGTAATATTTTACACATGAAGCACTGTGACTACTACAGGACTGTCTCTTTACTGAACACTGATTGTAATATTTTAATAATGAAGCACAGTGACTATTACAGGACTGTGTCGTTCCTGAACACTGACTGTAATATTTTCCTCATGAAGCATAGTGACTATTACAGGCCCGTGTCTTTACTGAACACTGACTGTAATGTATAAAACTATTACAGGACTGTATCATTATCTTTATAATTTTTTTAGTATGATTTGTGTTGCATGTTGTAGAACTGGACTTGTCTTGAAGAGTAATGGTTCAGAATT